TGTGTGTAACATTACTGCATGTCTCAGCACCGAGTGTGTAACAGGACTGTGTGTCCCAGCAGTGTGTGTGTAACAGGACTGACTGACCCAGGACGGACTGTGTAACAGGAGTATCCCAGCATGGAGTGTGTAACAGGATTGTGTGTCCCAGCACTGACTAACAATGTGTGTAACAGAACCGTGTGCCCAGCAGTGTCTGTGTAACAGGTCTATTTGTCCCAGCAGTGAGTGTATAACAGGACTGGGTGTCCCAGCACTGAGTATGTAAGACAACTGAGTGTCCCAGTACTGAGTGTGTAACATGATTGAATGTCCAGGTACTGAGTGTGTAACATGACTGAGTTTCCCAGTACTGACTAACTGTGTGTGTAACAGGAGTGTGTGACCCAGCAATGAGTCTGTAACAGGACTGAGTGTCCCAGCACTGAGTGTGTAACAGGACTGTGTGTCACAGCACTAAGTGTGTAACACGGTTGAGTGCCCCAGTACTGAGTGTGCAACACGGTTGAGTGCCACAGTACTGAGTGTGTAACATGATTGAGTACCCCAGTACTGAGTGTGTAACACGATCAAGTGTCCCAGTACTGACTAACTGTGTGTGTCCCAGCACTGAAAATGTAACAGGACGGTGTGTCCCAGTACTGAATGTGTAACAAGACAGCGTGCCCAGCAGTGTGTGTAACAGATTTGCTTGTCCCTGCATGCAGTGTGTAACAGGACTGACTGACCCATCACAGAGTGTGTAACAGGACTGGGTGTCCCAGCACCGAGTGTGTAACAGGACTGAGTATCCCAACATTGAGTGTGTAACAGAACTGTTTGTCCCACTACTGCATTTGTCACAGGACTGCGAGTCCCAGAATGGACTAAATGTGTTTGTAACAGGACTGTGTGTCACAGGAGTGTGTGTCCCAGCACTCAGTGTTTTACAGGACTGTGTCCCATTACTGAGTATGTAACAGAACTGAGTATCCCAGTACTGTGTGTACCAGTGCTCAGTGTATAACAGGACTGAGTGTCCCAGCACTGAGTGTGTAACAGGAACTGAGTGACTCAGTACTGAGTGTGTAACAGGACTGAATGTCCCAGTACTGAATATGTAATATGACGGGGTGTCCCAGTACTGATTGTGACTTGACTGTGTGTCCCAGCACTGAGTATGTAACAGGACTGTGTGTCCCAGCACTGAGTGTGTAACAGGGCTGTCTGTCTCAGCACTGAGTATGGAACAGGAGAGTGTGTCCCAGCACTGAGTGTGTTACAGGAGAGTGTGTCCCAGCACTGTGTGTGTAACAGGTCTGTCTGTCCCTGCAATGAGTGTGTAACAGGACTGTGTGTTTCAACACCGCATGTAACAGAACTGAGTGTCCCAGTACTGACTAATTGCATGTGTAACAGATGTGTTTGTCCCAGCACTGAGTGTGTAACAGGACTGACTGACCCAACACTGTATGTGTAACAGGACATTGTGTCCCAGTACTGAGTGTGTAACAGAAGTGTCCCTGCACTGAGTATCCCAGTACTGAGCATTTAACAGGACTGAGTATCCCTGCCATAAAGGATGTGAATCTGACACAATCGGGAAATCTCCGTCTAACTCTGATCTGTGCCTTATTCATTCTTCAAATGAAGAACAACATTCACTCAAGGAACAGCTCAACTCAATGTGGCAAGGTACAGTTGCACTGAGTTTAACAATTTGAAACCAACAACATTGCCCATGTTTTTTGTAACAGAGACTGATGATAGGAACTGAAAATGCTGCATGTACTCAGCAGACTCAGGAATCAATGCAAAGAGAAGCAGAGTTCATGGTTCAGGCCACTGACATTTCATGAAGATCTTTAACTGAACAATTCCCCAATTGCAACTTATACTTCTTCTAGAAACAGCCATTTCTTCATTTTTCATACTGTCATTTATACCATCATTCTGTCTGTCATTTCAACTCTCCCTCTTTGATAGACACCATTTGTTTTACTTATTCCCCGCTCTCACACAGGTACTACTGATAACCTCAAAAATCTGGAAACATTTTCAGTACGAATAAAAAAAATCAACTGAAAATGTTACTGCTGTTTCTCTCTCAATAATGCAGATTAATTTGCTGCATTTTCAGTAGTTTCTGTTTTTATTTTGCATTTATAAAGGGAGGGTTAGGTGAAAAGGGAGGGTTAGTGTCGCAATGTCATAATTCACACCATCTTCATTTTCCACATTTAAAAACAATATATCATAACACAGCCATACGATTACACAGTACACAGTAGGTGATCATTAATTGGTCTACACTCCACACCCAACCTGCACAATAGGAGACTGATTGCTCACACACATCCAGTCTGACTGTCCCTCCCGGGACATAGTGATTGTTGCATCAGTGAATTCGAGAATTCGACACCGGAGATCAACGATGAAATCCCCTTCCTAAGACCTTTGAATCTCACTGGAAAATGGCTCCCACACAAGTTGACTCTCAGTGGGGTACAGGCACACACACACTGACTCTCACTGGGGTACGGGTCCCATACACACACTGACTGTCACTGGGATATGGGTCCCATACACACACTGACTGTCACTGGGATATGGGTCCCACACACACACACCGACTCTCACTGGGGTGCAGGTCCCACACACACCCACTCTCTCTGGGATAAGGGTCCCACACGCACCAACTCTCTCTGGGGTAAGGGTCCCACATACACCGACTCTCTCTGGGATACGGAAGCCACAAAGACTGACAGCTCCCTAGCATGCCCCAGTAATTCATCACCATTTCCAAGTGAGTGTGGACTGGGTAGTCAGCTCTGGGTGAGTGATAAATCCCCAGAGTCCACACAAATTCATGTTTTAGGGGGATCCTATAATGGATATTCAGAGGGTTTTGAAACCCATCTCAGCGCTGATCAGATAGTCGGAATTGTTAGAAAATTTAGCATCCACATAATGACAGTGAACAGTGACTTGAATAAAGGATATTTCATTTTACACAGTGTCAATTACAAAGAATGTGCATTAGCAGGAATAGCAAACTTGAGGCACAATTTTAAAATGTTTAAACAGTTAATCAAAACAAGACAATTTGATTCACTCCCTTCTCTCTTGTAAATATAAAAAAATGCCAAAGAACTGAGGCTCCTTACATCCAGAAACTTAAAACTGGCTCTACAGTTAAGCCTCAGCTCAACACTAACTCTTCAGGAAATGTGAACTTTCTCAGGGTTAATCTTTTCTTTTGAGACACAGAGGACTGCAATTAGAAAAAAAAAGTTACACCATGGAAAACTGAAAGAACTGCATTTACCTTCAGTGCTTTATCCTCTCCCGTGGAGCCCTGGCTCGGTGTGGAACTAGCCAGGAGAACACGATGAAGCTGGAGTCCTCTGTAACACCCTGCACTCTGTGATGAACAGACTGGGAGAGCCTGACAGGCAGCACAAGCCCCCGTGTGAGTAAGGGAGGCAAGGTTGGCACTGTCCCAGGAGGTGGGCCCCCTCGGACGATTGGTTCAGGCCATTCTGACATCAGGCTGATGGGGCTGTCCAGGATGTCAATCTTTGCTGGAAGCTCAGTCAGTTGCAGGGAGTGTTAGACTGCCTGGGCTGTTCCAGCTTCTGTCTTGAGACAGAATTCACCCCGCTGCAATTATCTTAACTAGTTTAAAACCCCACATCTTGGAGGGTCAATTTTATTACAAATAGATGGTTAACACTTTTGACAGCAAACCAGCAATAACTTTGCACTAAACTTTACAACAGAGAGAAGATCCTGAGATGCCGCACAGGGTTGGCAATGGGCCACAGATCAGGCAGAGTGACAACACTAAGCCTAAAGGGCCTGAAAATGTTTTGGTTAAGGTGGAGAAGGAAGTGGAAATGGGGACAGCATTCAGCAAAGAACTGCACAGAGTAGTGGCGAGTTGGTTGGTGGCCTGTAGTGGGGGGGATGTGTGAGGATCAGATGTCCGTGAATTACAAGGGAAATGTCAGGGTGGAAGTCAAGAAGCCCAGGCTCAGCGGGTTGAATTGTTGCCTTTGAGTCATGGGAGAGTATGGGTTCACACCCAACTCCTTGAATCTGCACGATATGATCATAGCCGGCACTCCAACACAGTATTGAGGGTGATGTGTTAAACTGAGACACTGCCCTCTCAGATGGGCATCAAAGATCATACACCACTTTCGTGAAGAATACTGGAGACATTCCCTTTGTCTCTCATTGACTAATGTTTGCTCGCAGCCAACATTGTCAAAACTAAATAAAAACTGAAAGAACTGCAGATGCTGTAAATCAGGAACAAAAACAAAGTTGCTGGAAAAGCTCAGCAGGTCTGGCACCATCTGTGAAGGAAAAATCAGAGTTAAAATTTCGGGTCTAGTGACTGTTCTGTTTCCCAGTTCTGAGGAAGGGTCACTGGACCCGAAACGTTAACTTCGTTTTTTTCCTTCACAGATGCTGCCAGACCTGCTGAACTTTTCCAACAACTTTGTTTTTGTTCCATTGTCAAAACTAGGTAATCTAATTATTATCACGTTGTCGTTTATGGCAACTTAGGGGCATAATAGGAGCAGGAGTAGACCATTTGGCTCATTAAGCATGCTCTACCATTCACTATCATGATCTTCAGCTTCAACTACATTTCCTGCCTCCCTCAATTCCAGAAGCACCTGGATTTAACAGTTGCAAAGATTATAAATTTGAATGATAGGTTGTTCAACGTTCCCTTATTCTGAGACTGTATAGTGTTCTCGATTCTAGTTCTAGGGGGTGGGAGTGGATTGAGTCCTTATAAAATGTTGTATGTTTTAAAACGATCACCTCTCATTCTTCAAAAGTCCTGAAGCATTAGGGCTCAATTTACTTAAACTCAACCCAGGAATCAATCTTGTGAATCTTTGCTGCACTGTTGCTGATGGAAGTATATTCCTCCTTAGGTAAGGAGAACAAAACTGCACAGTACTCCAGATGTACTCCCCATTAAAACATTCTACTGTTGTACTGAAATAAAGCAAAATACTGCAGATGCTGGAACTCTGAAACAAAAACAGAAATTGTTGGAGAAACTCAGCGAGTCTGGCAGCCTCGGTGGGGAAAAGGCAGAGTTAACGTTTCAAATCTTGTTCAGAACTGATAGTAGCTAGGAAAAGATAGCATTTATGCTGAAGACAAGGAGTAGGGTGGAGGGGTAGAAGGAGTGAATGGATAGGCAGAGAGGGAGCCCAGAGAGAAAGCGACAGTTAGGGAGAAAAAAGGATGGTGATAACACGCTCAGGAGAAAAAGAAGCTGATAACGGTGACCGCAAGAAGGTGAAAATGGCAAACCCGGGGTGTGGTGGTGGGTAAAGAACACAGAAAATAGTGTTCAGGCTATAATATTATTGAATTCAATATTGACTCCTGAAGGCTGAAAGGTCCCCAAGTGCAAAATGAGATGCTGTTCTTCCAGCTTGCGCTTAGCTTTGCTATAGCACTGCAGCAAGCCTGAGACAGAAGTGTTGGCCAGGGAACACAGTGGTGTGTTGAAGTGGCAGGCAACAGGTAGCTCGGGTCATTTCTGCAGACGGAATGTAGGTGTTCAGCAAACCAGTCTCCCAGTCTGCGTTTCATCTCACCAATGTAGAGGAGATAACATGTGGGCACTGCATGCAGCAGACTAGCTTGACTGAAGTACAGGTAAATCGCTGCTTCACCTGTAAAGTGTCTCTGGAGTTTTGGATAGTGAGGAGGAGGAAGTAAACGGGCAGGTGTTGCACCTTCTGTGAGTGTTTCCTAGCTACTATCAGTTCTGAAGAAGGTTTGAAATGTTAAGTCTGCTTTCTCTCCACAGATGCTGCCAGAACTGCTGAGTTTTTCCAGCAATTTCTGTTTTTGTTTCAGATTTCCAGCAAACGCCGTATTTTGCTTTATTTTAGTATAACAGTAGAATGTGTTAATGGGGACTACATCCAGAATACTGTACAGTTTTGGTCTCCTTACCCCAGAAGGAATATACTTGCATCAGCAGTGCAGCAAAGATTCATAAGATTGATTCCTGGGTTAAGGGGAGGGGACTGTGGGGGGGCAGGTGAAACAATCCTTGTTCCTCCTCACAACACTTTCTCCGGTATGTTGATGACATCATCAATGCTCCTTTCTTCTCTCATTCAGATTTGGAGAAATTTATCAATTTTGCTTCTAATTTACACCCTGCTCTACCTTCATCTAGTCTATCTCTGAATCCTCATTTCCCTTCCTCAACACCTCTGGGGATAGGCTGGCCACCAATATACACTATAAACATAACAACTTCCACAGTTACGAAAACAAAAAGTTGCTGGAAAAGCTCAGCAGGTCTGGCACCAACTGTGAAGGAAAAAACAGAGTTAACGTTTCGGGTCTGGTGACTCTTCCTCAGAACTGGGGAACAGAACAGTTCTGAGGAAGGGTCACTGGAGCCAAAACGTTAACTCTGCTTTTTCCTTCACAGATGCTGCCAGACCTGCTGAGCTTTTCCAGCAACTTTGTTTTTGTTCCTGACTTGCAGCATCTGCAGTTCTTTCGGTTTTAACTTCCACAATTACCTGAACTATACATCCTCAACCCTGCTTCCCGGAAAGACTCCATTCCATTCTCGCAGTTTCTCCATCTCTGTCTGTTCTGACAATACCACTTCTGGAGGGGCCTCAGAAATGTGCACTTTCTTCCTAGGATTCCCAGCCACCGTGGTTGACAGGGCCCTGAACCATATCCCACCCATTTCCCACAGTTCTGCCCTCACACTTTCTCACTCCTCTCACAACACTGATAGGGTCTCCCAGTCCTTAGTTTCCATCCCACTGGCATCCACATCTAAAGGATCATTAGGCGTCATTTCCACTATCTCCAGTGGGATGCCACCACCAGTCACCCCTCCATAGTCAGCATATGTCAGGCACCATTCCCTCTGGAACACCTTAGTGCACTCCTCCTCTACTCCCAACAGCTCCAACTGCCATAGCCCCTTCCCATGGACTCGCAGAAGCTACACAACTGGCTGTTTACTTCCTCCCTCACTATCCATGGCTCCTAAATATACCTTCCAGGTGAAGCAGCAACTTACCTGCACTTTACTCAATCTAGTCTAATTGCATTCACTGTCCAATATGTGGTTCCATCTACATTGAGGAGACAAAACGCAGATTGGGTGTCCACTTTGCAGAACACCTATGTTCTGTTTGCAAAAATGACCCAGAACTTCCGGTTCCCTGGCCAACATTTCTATCTCAGGCCTGCTGCAGTGCTCCACCAAGGCTCGGCACAAACAGAAAGAACAGCACCTCATTTTCTAGTTGGGGATCCTGTGGCCTTCAGGATTCAACATTGAGTTTAATCATTTTAGAGCCTAAGCACCTTTTCCTATGTCCTTTACCCATCCCCACACTTCAGGCCCTGTCATGACATGGACGGCTTTCAGCATAGTCAACCCATTTTCACCTACTTATGGTCCCCATTATCAGCTTTTCTTTCTCCTTAGCATACTATCATCCATCCCTTTGCCTCTCTAACTGTTGTTCTCTCTTTGAGCTCCATCTCGGTTTGCTCCTTTTACCTCTCCACTCTCTGTCTTCAGCATATATACCACCTTTTCTTAGCAACCATCAGTTTTGAAGCAGGGTCATTGGTCTCAATTTTACTGTGCTTTCTCTCCACAGATGATGCCACACCTGCTGAGCTTCTCCAGGAATTTCTGTTTTTTCCACATTTACCCTAATTCCATGGCTCCTCCATCATTGCAGTGACTCTCCACTTCACTGGCTGTTAAGTGCACTGGGCTGCTTTAAGGCACTATACAAATGCAAGTCCTTTCTTTCATTCCTCACACTTGGTGCACAGGGTTGCATGGGGAATTGATGCAGATGCGAGGACAGAGGGAAATATGCGACTGAACATAGCCTGGGATAGAATACAGACAGTTGAGCATCAGTAATTTACAGAATAGAGGTTGGGCTGGAAAAGACATCAGAGAAATCAATTCTGATGATAAGTGTATTGAGTATCAGTAGTTTAAGGGTTGATATGAAAGCAGGAGGTGAAGCAAGCACTGTACTGAAACTATAGGCTGTTCATTTTGGAGTTCAGCACTGAATAAACAAGGCACCAGCATTCTGCAAGTCTGGGATGGTGCAGTCCATTGAAAAGTCTGGACATGCTAGTGTTGATATCCAACTTGGGCAAGTGTTTGGCAATTGCCAAATATCCCCACGACCATGTCTGTACCCCTTATGGTCACCTGGAACCTCCAAGGATCCATGCTGTACCTTTCCCATCCTCTCATTCTGGGATCTACAGCGACCCATGTTGAATCCATCCCACCTGCTTATTCTGGAACCTACAGCGATCAACACTGAACCAGACTCATTGACATCGAGCTATCGGGATTGCTCAGCACT